ATGTGTGTGTGTGTGTGTGTGTGTGTGTGTGTGTGTGTGTGTACCCTCTTATTACCTGTTTGAGACACTAACTCTTCTTGACCTATATGGAAAGAGTTTGTTGCGCTTGTGATACCAACTAACCTAGGATTTACTTTATGATTGTCCGATCTCTTATTCCTTTAATTTTTTGTTCTTGTTTTAAACTTAACTCCAGTGGATGAACAATATATAGTATCAGTATATGATGATCTTCATCCGAGAGTGCTGAAGGAGCTGGCCGAAGTCATTGTGGAACCCCTGGCAAAATCTTTCTGCAACTCATAGCACTCTGGAGAAGTCCCTGAGGACTGGAAGAGGGCTAATGTTGTGTCCATCCACAAGAAGGGCAGGAGGGAGGACCCAAGTAACTATAACCTAATCAGCCTAATTTCCATCCTAGGGAAAATCCTAGAAAATGCATCAAGGAGTCTATCTGCGATATGCTTGCAGAAGGTAAGATTCTGAATGACAGCCAGCATGGCTTTGTCACGGGCAGGTCTTGTCTTACCAACCTCATCTCCTTCTATGACCAGGTAATTTGCAACCTGGACACGAGAAAGCAGATTGACATTATAAAGTCTTCCAAAAGGCTTTTGATCTCGTATCTCACAATGTCCTCTCAAGAAAATTAGAGGATTGTGGGCTTAACTCCAAGACAGTCAGGTGGGTGAGAAACTGGCTGCAGGATAGGACCCAGAGAGTTATAGTGAATGGATGTGTCATCTGGTGAGAAGTGGACAGTGGTGTCCCGCAGGGGGAGGTGCTCGGTCCAGTGCTTTTCAACATCTATATTAACGATTTGGATGTGGGGGTGAAGAGCTCAGTGGCCAAGTTTGTGGATGACACCAAGTTATGGGGGAGCATGGTCACGCTTGAAAATAGGCTACAGATACAGGTGGACCTAGACAGGCTAGCAAGTTGGGTGGATCAGAACCTGATGAAGTTCAATGTTGAGAAATGTAAAGTTCTCCACCTCGGTATGAGGAATCCTCAACACACTTACAGGCTTGGCGGTACCAAACTGACTAGCACCACGAATGAAAGGGACCTGAGGGTAATAATAGACCACAGTAAGAATATGAGCCAGCAGTGCAATGCTGTAGCCAGTAGGGCAAATAATACTCTGGCATGCATCAATTGGTGCATCTCCAGCAAAACCAAGGAGGTGATTCTTCCTCTCTACTCAGCACTGGTGAGACTGCAGCTGGAGTACTGCATCCAGTTCTGGGCACCACACTTTAACAAGGACATGGACAAGCTTGAGAGAGTCCAGAGAAGAGCCACCCATATGGTCAGAGTCTTAAAAGGCAAGCCAGATGAGGAAAGGCTGAGGGATCTGGGACTCTTCATCCTGAAGAGAAGAAGGCTGAGAGGGGACGTGGTAGCAACTTACCTCTGCACTAGGGGAGTACATCAGGGGCTTGGTGAACAGCTGTTCACCAGGGTGCCCTTGGGGAAAACCAGGAGTAGT